TGCATTCCTAGGTGACGGTTGGGAGCCTAACAACGACTTCTATCGCGCTGCTCACAGTGGTGGACCAACCACCATGGCGGCGCGAGCATTCTGGCGAGCTAGAGCCACTAACGGACTAAAAGGGCAGTGATTGAGCATCCGCAGCTTACAACGAACATGATCGAGGTGATGATTAAGTCGGAGATGGCCCCCACAGCGCTGGCCATGTGCGCCCGCACCTCACGGCGGCGTGCCGAGCGGGGCACCGGCGCGACACCGCACCGATGGTGAGCCACCTGGACAAAACAGCACGAGCACCAAGTGGAGGGGGTCAATGCGAGTTTATGGTCTCAAACAATCGAACTTCTATCGCTCCAATCCTACCTCTCTTCCTAGTTCAAGTTCACGGCGGCGTCTCGACCGACGACAATCAAGACGCCAAATTGATCGTCCGTAGTGCTTGGCCGGGGATGAGGAAGATGGAGCACCTAATTGATTTCCTATGCCACTTACAGGTGCAAAGACCTGAACTGTAAACGCCCTGAGCTAGGTGAATCAATGGGCGGCGGCGTGGCACTCTGGTCCGGGTTATTTCGTGGGGGGGCGCGAGTGCACTCGAGCAGCTCAAGACGATGGCTCCGAGCGCTAGTGGCACCCTGACCACGTGCACCCAGGCGACGAGACATAGGAGCTTGGCGCGACGTGCTTGAATTGGAGCGGTAAGGCTCGAGCGGGCTCGCCAGCGTCGGCTAGCGAGGGCAAACGCGACAAAGAGGCGTCGCCATCTCCACTGTGACCTTAATGCGGCGACAGTGGCGCATGTCCTGGAGCTTGACTTGGTAGGTCAAACAGAGGGTGGGAGGAGCACCATGTTAGCCTGATGACGCCGCCGCCGCCGCCTCCAACCCAGCCAGCCGGCATAGTGGCGGCGAGGAGTCGAGTCGCCGCTGCACGGTAAAACCGCCAACGCCAGACGCGGGCGCCGCTGGCTTAACCGATCGACGCTTCGAGCCGACCAATGGCGAAGGGGTTCGACCACCATCGAAGCTCGGCACCAGCAGCGCTCGCGCGTGGACCGTGACCACGGCACATGTCGAACAAGAGTAAGTGGTGAAGTGCACGAGTTTTAAAGCAAATCTAAACTGTCGATTAACTTGACTAAAGTTCAACCAATTACTCTAACCCGAAGCCTGCACTATCCACTAGCTAGCGAAGCAAAACTCACGTCCCGAGAGCGACTAGAGAGGAGGATAGAAGCATGCCAACATGAGCTCGTCACGCAGACGCCAGTCCGCGAACAGAGCACCGAAACATGATCCACCACGCGTTCTAAGGAATTTTGGGCAATTTTTACGAGTACAACGTGACACCCAACATGGCTATAACCTTCACCATGCTCAAGTACACACTTTGACGCAACCAATAGTGCAATAACATGGATCTAGGGCTTAATCATTTTTGTTGGAATTTAAATACCAATATGGCATTGTCTATTATCATTTCAGACTTAGGGAATTCAAGGGTTCAGTTAGAACTAACATTCCCTAGCACTTTCGCCTTAATTTTTAAAAAGTCTAAACCTTGTTAACTTCAACCAACAATACTTCATGCAATAGTCCATACCTCATACTAACCCGTAGGAGCAAAATATTTAAGCACCATTTAACTATTTTGCTCAAAATAATTCGCAAAAAATGGTACTTTAAACATAAATTCAAATGTTGTCGACTTAACGAAAAGAGCTTATCTTAACGTCAGATTTGATTTTTGAGCTCCCAAAATACTAGTTAACAACATCTATTTCCTAAAAGTTAAAGTTGCATTGTCATATACCAAGTTTGTACTTCCAACTTTATTTAAGTATCACATACATGTTCTATAGTATTTTTACTTAATAAAAATTGGTTTTAAACCTAAGTGATATAACATGACTATTGAATCAACTTTCGTTTAGCATTTCTGTTGATTGTTTTGAGTTATGAAAATTGATCTACACACTTTATCGCATGCATTGACACATAAACATGAGGCTCATGACATAGTTTAGCAAGTTGTTTAAGCGGTAACCCCGAGGGTGTTACAGTTGATATCCTTCTCTCTCTAAAAATTACGCTAGATTTAATAGAAGTTAAGTATGTTAGCCGTTAATGTTTTTTCGCCTTCGTAAATTTATTTTTGTGAATTTTATACTGCTCAAGATGATATATAGAGTACATTGGTGTCTGATTTAGCAGTAGGACCAACTGTTCTAGATTTTTTATATGCAGACCTACTGAAAAACAAGGCTACTGAAATAGTTCAAGAAAAATAAAGAGGATTTAAGCATATAAAGATATAGTTTCGTCTTAGTAAAATAAATAGAAAAGAAGTATCACCGAAAGAGTTCGTTGTTCGTAAAGAAAGCTGGAGCTGCTGTTGTCTTCATTTCATTTCAATTCCACGTGAAAATGATAGATTTAGGTGTTGGGTGTTTGTAAATGTACGCTCATTTCGTGCATGTCCGTAGTTTAGGACAGTGGCGAGTTTTTTCCATTTTATTTTGGAGATTATGTGAGCATTTCAACAAAAGGAGTCATTATTTTATTTGACTAATGTTTGCTATGCTTTGGTACAAACGGACCCCAACAAAGAAAAACAGAGCTTCCTCTGCATTTTCTCCTACCTAGTACTCACTATATGTTGCTTCTTGGAGATTGTACTTGAAGGAGTTGGTTCCCATAACTTTAAGAGCTATGACGTGCGCCTCTAAGAATCTTCTTGCCTAAATGTATGTATGGAACCCACGGTGTGACACTAAGATCTTGTTTGGTTTACGCTTTTTGCCTTGTTATCAGTTTACAACGGAACTGGATCACGTTACTTCTCGTTTGGTTTGGATGTCACGATATCCAATACAAGCACTCGGAAGCATGATACCGTTCGTCTCTCAGCATCAACGGTTACGTCCTGCGCATCTCTCACCCTAACCAAGCAAAATTGATTTTCCAATAAATCATGACCGATAGTAGAGTCACCCTTTGCATTAACATTCCCGCTCCTCCAAATGAACCAAACAGCACCTAAGTTGCAACTCTTATGATACGAAAAAGCCGTGGCTACAACTTTGAGAGCAAAATATATCAATGAACTTAAGTCACATACTCACATGTGAGGCAGAATGTGGTGTATCTTTATATAGTTTCCTCTCTGAAATTTGGGCTCAAATAGCAATTAAATTCGCTAGCCCTTGATCTATTCTTTTCATAATTGTAATTTTACGAATTTTGCACGGTTCAGGATGATACTATAGACATTCAAACTTTGTTCATTGTTGGATTCGATCGAACAGGCTTATCAATTGATTAACGATAAGCGATGTTTTCTCTCTCATAACAAACCAAAGACCAAATTTGGGTTTATCAAATTTCGTAAACCAACCAAATGAACAAGCCGATTATAAACTGAGTAGTAGGTTGAAACGCTTCAAAATTATTATATTAAAGGATCTACTGAAAAAAATAATGTTTTTAAATGGTTCATGAATGAATGGAAATAAAGAAGGCTTAGGCATCGAATTAGACAGTTATGTTTGAGTAATATGAATAGAAAATAAGGCCTAAAAGGATCATACATAACAAGAAAAAGAGGTTCCACCTAACGCGGAGATGAGGTCTCTTCGAGCAAGGTTTATGATATGCAATTGTAAATGAAAATAATGTTTTCCGTGCAAATTTGCCGTTGACAGCAGCAAGTGAAAAGACACTGGCATCACATGCCATGTCACTGCAGCTGAGGTGCTATTCAGTCTCCGTGCCACATGTATTTCGCTGTCCGGTGGGACCCGCTCACCGACCCCGAAACTCCACGTCACATGAACGGTCGCTAATCCGCCACCTGCCTGTTTTAACCCCTTCCCCACCCCCCCCCCCCTTTTAGCAATTTTTTATTTATAATAAGCGCCGCGCCGCTGCAAAAGAAAAGGAGCGGCAACAGGCAGGCAGGCAGATACCACACTGCCTCACCAACAGCAGCTGCTGCTTCTGTTCTTCTCACCCTCCCTCCCTCGCCCTCTGCGTTTTGTGCCGTTTGCGATTTCTTTGGAGGAAAAGGGAAGCAAAGCGCGGAAATACTCCACAGATACCACTCACCTACCGCTCCTCCAATCCGTCGTCCACCAAGCAGCAGCTTTGCATATCTCCCTCGTCCCTCCCTTTCCTTTTCTCCCTCTCTATCTCTCTCCGCTGGATCCTCCGGCCTCTCGCGGTCCGGTGGAGCGGAGATCCGGCCGCTCGGGCGTCTGCTGCTTCCTCGTTCTGCCGGTGAGTGAGCTGGCCTTCCTTGTTGGAATCTTTGGTGGGTTATTCTTATTCCCTCTGCCTCTGTGAGCTGTTCTTGTTCCCAGTCAGATCCAAATGCCCCCCGTTCCCTTCCTCTATCTCTCTGCCCATTCAGTTTGCTGTGGATTTTACGTGTAGCGCGTACTCCATCCATGGTGTGTGATTAGCTTCTTCTGCTTGTTCCACAGCGTTCAGGATCATGCCATTCGGCCCCCCTCTTGGGACCAAATTGAGGTTGCTAGTGCATCTTGTTATTTAGAAAAACACACAAAAAAAAAAAAAATCTCTTGATGGCTTATTTCCCACAGCCGCAAACACGATGGATGGAAACTAATGTGCTAGCTGTTGATCCTTGCGTGTACCGGTACCCGTACCGCGATCGCCATCGCTGGAATTTATTACCCCCTGTACACGCATCGGACTGGATTGGAGCACAGCTGGGAGTCCACCTTCCCTTGCTTCCCTTCCAGCCCAAGATAATGTACTCCCGTGTACTGCCCGCCTTAACTGCTCCCATTTAGTCCAGGCAGCTGTCCTTCCTATGTGCATGTTCCGTGGATCCAGATTCACGCATTTGCATTTTGCTGCGTGGAGTTGATATTTCCTGCATTGTGTGATGTCATTTCTTGGCCTACATGGGCAGCTAACTCGTTCGTCTGTTTTTTACCCCTTTGGTCTGTAGGAGCAAGAAGCTGGCATCCCGCCATGTCGGCACCGATGCCCTCCCCGACTCTGAAGGATCATCTCTCCACGCCTACAGGCCCCCTGCATCTCAAAGTATGGGAGGTCATATGCATTGCCTTGGGAGCTTTCATGGTGCTCGTCTTGTTTGTCACCGTGTGGCTCACGATCAGGAGCAAGAAGAGGGTAAGGCGGCGGGCATCCGCAAATATCCCAATCACCCAAATCCCTGCAATTTCCAAGGAAATCAAGGAGGTGAGGGTGGAGCAAGTGCCGGCAAGCGACTTTGTGGCGCATGATGGTGTCCTCCTGATGATCCAGGACAAGTCCAGCGACCGGGATTCCGACAAGGTCATGGCCCATTTGGGTGTCAGCAAATCGAGGCGTGGTGATGAGAGCCATTCGGGATCATTTCGCTACATGGACAAGGATGCAGGATTCCAGTCAGCTGAGGAAGGCGGCTCTGGAACGTTTCGGCAGGCTTCAGCTAATGCCATAACTGCTCCTTCACCTCTGGTTGGCTTGCCCGAGTTTTCATACCTTGGTTGGGGTCACTGGTTTACGCTGAGGGATCTGGAGCTTGCTACCAATCGCTTTTCAAAGGACAACATTATCGGTGAGGGTGGATATGGTGTAGTTTATCGTGGCCAGCTGATCAATGGCTCCCCTGTTGCTGTCAAAAAGCTTCTCAATAACCTGTAAGCCTTCCTTAGTTCCTTATCTAATCTCAGCTCGTTTTTTTTCTGTTTGTTCTCTCCACATCTTGTCTTCGCCATCATCGTACACCAATAGTGCATTTAGTTTCTCCAATTGATGTTTTGTGAATCTATAGAGGTCAAGCTGAGAAGGAATTCAGAGTAGAAGTTGAGGCTATCGGTCATGTTCGACACAAGAACTTGGTCCGGCTTCTTGGTTATTGCGTGGAGGGTACCCAAAGGTAATTCCTATTACATCTGCAATAAGCATGGCATTTTCTGACACCATTTCTAACTTGAAATGAATTTTGCAGGATGCTTGTCTATGAGTATGTGAACAATGGAAACCTAGAGCAATGGCTTCATGGAGCTATGAGTCAACGTGGCTCCCTTACATGGGAGGCCCGCATAAAGATTCTTCTTGGGACTGCTAAAGCGTTAGTGCAAAATACACTTTAACCTTTTGTTACCATTGTCTCTTGCATTATTTTCTCAGCTGCCTTAGGATATTAATGCTGTAAAAGTTCTAAAACTCATTATCTTTCTACACGGGGATATTTCTGTTATAGGAATTAAACAATACCATAACACCCCTCAATTCAATGTAAGTGTAACTGAGATTAAGCTAAAAACTTCCAATAACTATTTGCATTGCCTTAATTGTTGCTAAACTTGCATAATATGTTTTCTCCTTTCAGTTTTATCATGCGTGAATGATTGAAATGAAAACAAGAATTTTTTATATTTATCCGCAGGCTTGCTTACTTGCATGAGGCGATTGAACCCAAAGTTGTGCACCGTGATATCAAATCCAGCAATATTTTGATTGATGATGAGTTCGAGTCCAAAGTATCAGATTTCGGTTTAGCCAAACTTCTTGGTGCTGGAAAGAGTCATGTCACCACTAGGGTTATGGGTACCTTTGGGTATGTTCCACTATTTGTGACCAAGGTTTCCATGAAATTATGTTAGTACAAGGTTATGATGGTCTGAATTGACTCACTGCAGGTATGTGGCACCAGAGTATGCAAACACTGGGCTCTTGAACGAAAAGAGTGACATTTACAGCTTTGGAGTTGTTCTCCTAGAAGCAATTACTGGAAGGGATCCTGTTGACTATGGCCGCCCACCAAATGAGGTATTGATAAATTGGTCAATATTCTTTGCTTTAGTGCTAACCTATATGTTAAGACATTGCTTGTGTAGTTAGATATGTTTAGGTTTGAAGCATTAGGAGACATCTCACCAAATTGAGTGATACTCAAAAGTTCTGTTCTGTTTCTGTTGGCACTGGAATGCTTTGTGTTGGCAAAGAAATTGCTCTATACATCCAGTACATAGTTCATTTTGTGGCTGCCTGTGGATCCTTCATTCCTTCTCATAATTCATGAGAGAACGTTCATGACAGAATGTAATGTTGACTAGATTCAGTATTTGCTGTTTCCTTCATGTGAACCCTTTGATCAACCTCCTCTCATTTTTTGCTTACTAAAGCATGTGCATGATGCTTGACATAAAAGGCAATTTTTTATAGAAAAAAGACATAAAAGGCAAATAAGAGCTTACTGTTGAAATGGTTGTTGGCGTGTTCCTTTAAGAATTTTCTAACAACACTTTGTGGTTGGTCATGTATAAAATATGCATTGTGTCCATTCATATTGCTTGTTCAAACTGATAGCTTTGCCACTGTTTTACATAATTGGCATTAATTTATTCAGATGAAGTGGTTGGCTATCCTAGAATTGGAAAAGCTACTGGCAGTGTTATTAGTTGTGTCAGCCTCCCAGATCATCGTAGCTAATACAAATCTCAAGGGCCAATTTATACCAACTATTTTCTTGATACAACCAGCGTAAACTAGTAATGTTTCTATATATTGCTATCAGTAACCATTCTTTGATGGATATATTACTGTGTCGTTTAGAGATCATAATAGTATATGCGTAAATAGCACAACCGCTAAAGTGTTGTCCGCAATTTCAGTAAGAACTTAACAATGGCCATATCTGTTTGACCCCCATGATGCATTGTTTCATGAAAATAGGAAATGGTATCTTCCACTTCTCTAGCTGAACATATTTTTGCCATTTGCAGGTGAATCTAGTTGACTGGCTAAAAATGATGGTTGCCAGCAGGCGGTCCGAAGAAGTAGTGGATCCCACCATAGAGACACGACCTTCGACGAGAGCTCTAAAGCGTGCACTTTTGACAGCTCTGAGGTGTGTGGATCCAGACTCAGAGAAGAGACCGAAGATGGGTCAAGTTGTCCGGATGCTGGAATCGGATGATCCAATTCCTCGAGGGGTATGTCCTAGCAAAAATAAAAATAAAAAAATTAACAAAAATCCTTGTTTAGTTCATAGTTAATATACTGCTGGTTTCCATTATACCTACTTAAACCTTCATACTGAAATTCTAAATTCTCGCAAGCAGGACAGAAGATCTAAGCACCACCGTGGAGGGAGCACAGAAATGGATTCGCAAAGGGAAAACAACTCTGACACGGAGAAGAGCGACAATCCAGATTCGAAACCTAGCAGGAGCAGAGCATCCTCGTCCAAATGAGCACACCAGCATTTCACCTATTACAGTCTTCGGTACATTGCATGGTCCAGACTACTTCCATTTTACATTGCTGACGAATTGGTAACTGAAAGCTCTGAAGCTTGTACGAGCTGAAGAAAGATCTACTTTTCTTTTCTTTTTGTTGTAACGATTTATGATTTGTTTGTAGAGAAGGTATTGGTTTTTTACTTATCAATGTGTACTTACCGGTGATCTTGACAATTGCTGCTGTAAGTTTTTAACATTGTGTACAGGCGTAGCATCATGAATACTGGCGGAATCCCCGTAATATTTGTAATGATAATGATAATGTTTCAATTGAAAGCCCTCCCTCCCATTTGAGCCAATAATACATGGTCAATTTACCCAGAACAATCATAAACGAAAAAAAAGGTCCCGGTTGTTCCAGTGCAATACTAGATGTCTTTAGTTCAATCATGTCTCAGTCTCAATGACGGAAATTGAGCCACTTGTTACTGATTTAACTTTTCTAGATTTTATTTAGCACAACCTGGCCTTCATGGCCTTTCATTAACAGATGTAGCTCTAAGACCTAATTGTCAGGAGAAAAGTAATATTTCATATAATAAATTAGTCATCACTATAAACCTTTCCGTATTCATGGCCCTTGCATATTTGTGGAAACGAAAATTTGAAAGTCCTCAAACAAGGTTTAAAATTCTATTTTGAATAACCCTACAAAGCTTCACAATTCCCTAAACTAAGCTTGGGCTGAATCTCGCCCCAAACCTCCCCTTCTCTCCCTCTCTCTTTTTCATTTCTCAACCCATGTCTCCTATCTGGTACGGAACTGTTTCTAGCCTGGCTATCGGGTACGAACTGTTTCTAGCCCAAGCGAGGGCATGGGGCGGGATGCGGACATGGGGCGGGGGATCTACGTCCGGACGCGAGATCTTGACCGCTAGCCCTTGAGTAAAAAAGACAAGGATGACACACGAGCCCCATGTGTTAGTGTGAAAAAGAGGGAATAGGCAAGCTGACACTAGGAAATGGGCCAACTCAACATATGCAAAAAGGAGGGTGGCCCTCGCGTCGCATCCCACCCGGCGCCAACGTTCGTGTCTGTCGTAGGGCCACGCCCCCGCGCCTGCATGGGGAACCCACGTGGGCTGACCCACGTCTGTGCCCTAGCAGCATCAACAGGTGGCTGCAACAGGCCGCTGTTCGCCGACCACCTGTCGGTGTTTGATGACCGACAACTCGTCATAGGGTTAACCGGGACGATGGTTGGTGGGCTTGGACGCCTCGATCTGGTTTTGAAACATTCAGATGTTATATTTGCAACATATGTCTAAAACAGATAAAACATTTGAAACATATGTTTATAGGCATACCAACATATGCAACATCCATATCTACATTTGCAACATCCAGATGAAACACTTACAATATAAGTATAAAGCATATGAAACACTTGAAACACACACTTGAAACATGCGGGTAAAGCCATAGCAACATATGCAACATCCAGATGGAACACTTGAAACATAGGTCTGAAAACACCTGAAACACTTGAAATATAGGCTTGCAACATGCGTATATTATTATTGCAACATATGCAACATCCCAGATCTACTTTTGCAACATCCAGATGAAACACTTGAAACATAAGTCTGAAACGTCTGAAACACTTAAAACATAGCGTCGCCGGCAACCATAGTCTACCTGGTGGGGAACTACGGTAGCAAGCAAGCTTGGGTCAGGGAGATGGTGAGAGCCGCCTAGCGTACACCTAGGCCCAGCCCTCTCCTCCTGCCGTGGTGTCTTCGGCCAGCTACGGTGCATGCCATGGTCGCAACGACGCGAGGTGGATGGGGCGCGGCGCGGGGCGTGGAGGAGTGCGGAGTGGGGGCAGCGTGCGGGCACCCACGCTGGAGAAGGCCGCAGCGGCCAGAGAAGGCGAGCTGCGGGCAAGCGACTCGGTGGATGCACCAGTGGCGGTCGCATGCGTCGGTGAAAAAGGAAATGTCGTTGTCTTTTCGAGAAACCGTGAAACACTTAAGGTGGAGCGGAGCAGACCTGTTGGGTCTGATGGTTGCGCAGGACGGAGAACGGACCATCCATGGCTCGACGGATGCTCTCACGAGAGAATTTCCGTTTTTTTATGAAACACGAGAGGTTGGAGCCCATGCTGAAATTTTATTAAAACTGATCTCTGTCTTCCCCTCTCTCCATCCGTCACTCAATGTGCGTCCGCCAAAAAAAAATCTATGCGGCGATGTCCCAGTCCGTATGTCTTGCGAACCACCCAACGGCTCGACACGTGGCATGCTGCCCCATCGGGTGCACGCTCGAGCCGTCCGTGCCTCCGTTCTGCCACCAAGCTAATTTAGAGTCTGCAGCAGCCACCAGCTCGTTCAACCTCATCTCCATCCACCCGTTGTTGCTGCCAGGGAGGCCGGCGACAGCAAGAGCGCCCCTCCGTTGAATCTGATTCCGACGAAATTGCATCTTTGCTGTCCCATATGGTGATCAGGAGCCAACCAGCTATGTTACACGGATACTTCCCTAAAGCCGCAGTATCGTGTATCGGATATGTATCGGATACGGATACATGTCCGATACGCCCATGATACGTATCCTCCGAGTATCCGCTTTTTTATTATTTTTGTGATAATCGGATATGCCATCGGACACGTATCCTGCCTCGCGATACGGCCTGGCCCAGTAGAAGCCCAGGAAGGCAGACCTTATCCTCTGCCCCGACGCCCGCAGTCCGCAGTCCCGCAGTCCCGCACGGCGATGAGCTCACGGCTGCGCCCGCGCGTCGCACCGCAACCCCGCTCGCCGGCGATGAGCCTCCTATAACACCCTAAGTGTTAAGCATGCATTTAACCTTGACATTGCATGAGCACAAGCATCATTGATCATTCATGAGCATGAGCATATCAAATATTATCTCTATGTTTGCTTATATTGCATGTGTTGTCACTAAGATGCTTTGCATATGCTAGGGTTTATATGTAACCAATGTACAAAATGGTTGTAGAACCCTAGGAGTACCTTAAACATGTTTAGAATATCACATGGAGCAACTTTGGTATTTATGACTAAGGGTACTTTGGTCTCTAAGTCATATCTATAGTGTAAATCATCATTTTCAAGTTGTATGTTTGACCTAAGTGGAACTATAGCCTAGAGTGTTTGCATGGCAGTGCACCCTTAAGTAAAGTTGTAGTACTTGATTAGAGTAACAACTTTTATTTTTGGGTCAAGGTCTAATTCTGTGCCTAATTTAGTCATTTAGAGCTCACAAGAATCAACATTGTACTGTTTTTGGAACTTTAGGAATTTTTCTAAGTCAAAGTGAGTTTACAGTTTCGATGTGCCTGACTTTGTAATGATGCAAGTTGCTAACCTTTGTGAATTAGACCTAGATCACTTAAGCAAAGTTGGAGCTGGTATGTAGATCTACTACTTTTATTAATAGAATTTTTGCTAACTCGCCGTGGTTTAGGAGTTTGGAGGGGTTGAATTAGCACTGTTAGACAAACGTTTGGTGCTCTGATGGCCAACTCGGCCTGGCCATCATGGCCGACCGAGGCCAAAGCTTGGCCGCCGCGTGGCCACAGCTGGTCGGCATCGGGCCCCCGTCGCAGCAGGGTGGCGTGTGGTTAAGACGAAGCCGCGCTGCTCATTTCACTTCCTCAGTCGCGCTCTCTCCCTCTCTACTGCTCTCTCTCTCTCTCTCTACACGGCGGGAGCACCGAGCTCGCCGCGCCACCGCATTGCTCCGCCATCGCCCAGCGCCCTCGCCATCGCACCATTGCCGCCTCCAGCTAGCCGTTAGCTGCACCGTCTTCCTTTCTACCTCCTCCATGTAGTAGCAGGGCCAGGCAAGCCACGGTGAGGGCGAATTCGCCGTTCTTGCTCTCACCGGAATCTCGGCTTCCATGGCCGCCTTCACGGCGAGCTCACCGCTGCTCGGCTCACTTGTCCCTTCTTCCACCTTCTCCGCGTTAACGCTAGTTAAGGGTGTGGCCTAGCTTCTGGTGCGACCCTACGGTGAATTGTAGCTTCACCGACGTTGAACACGACGGCCAGCGCCGTCGCGCTCTCGCCGCCGCACCACCACGCACGTGGACGGACCCGTCGGTGTTTCCCACCTAGCCTAGGTAGCCTCGGTAGGTTCGTGTGGTCACTGCAGAGCCTGTGCGCTTCTCGCCAGGCCTTGCCGTGGCCAGTAGCGGCCGATGCACCTCCACGCAGCACCGCCGTGTTGCCATGGCCAGCGACGAGCACGCTCCGGTGCGTCCGCGCTTCCACCACCGGTACCAGTCGACGCGGGTGATTAAGTATAACACAATGGTGGGGTTGGTTTCGCCGGAAAGCTCGCCGTCGGTAAGCTAGCGCCGGTCAAACCTGCTCCCCTATTTTGGTTCACTGACAAGTGGGGTCCGCTGACCCGTGGGTCCCATGCGTCAGCGACTGCAGTTAGGGTTTTGGTTTTATTCTTTTCCTGATTTTATGCTAACTTTGGAAAATCACATCTAGAGCTAGGAATGTCCAATTTTGGTGAACAAAATTTTGTTGAATTCCTCATGAAGTGTAGTATTTTATAAAAATATGAAATACACTGTTTATGGTATGTTTCAAGGTGAATAAAATGTATCTAGATAAGTGCTTTTTGAATGTTTACAATCTTGTAAAATGTATAACTTGAGCTAGGAAAGTGATAAAATTATGATTCTAATTTTGCTGGTTTTGTGTTGACATGCTCTAGCTAGGAAAAATAATAAACTTGCAGTAAACTTGATTGGAGTAGGGTCTTTCTATTTATCTATTAATAAATGGTGTTTTCTGAGAAAAATTGTAGGGATAAAAATAAGTAACATATTGCCATGCAATTTTTTATAAAGTATTATGGCACTAGGATGAAGCTAAGAAAAATATAAAATCTATTGTTTCACACTTTTCTATAGGGTTAACTATTTTCACTAAAATAGACCTTTGCTAGCTTGTCATTTTTGTTGAGAATGTTATACATGTTCAAATGGTATGACATTTTTATAGTTGTCTATTGGGAGCACTTGGAAGATACTATAATTTTCTAAGAATTTATTGTGCACATTTGTATATATTGGTTATTTCACCTAATTATCTAATTAAATTAATAAAGGCATTTTAATAAATATATTGGGCTTGACCATTATGTTTTTTAGGTGTATTTGATATTCCTGAACTGTTGGTATACTTGGTGATGTCCAATTTTGAATGCTTATATGCAGTAAAAATATTATTGCTCTATATTTCAATTTAGAGTTGTTTTTGAACAAATTTTGTTGTTGGGTATTTTGCATAGTCAAAATGAAGTTTACTGTAAAAATGGTTAATAACAAAGTTGTAGAGAACTTCTTCATCTATCTTATGTTAAAAGTTTAGAGCAATAGGGCAAATGGTTTAGGAGTTATAGCTGTTTAAAGTTGGTTTCCTGAAATGCTTGTTCTCTGAAATTTCTGGACAGAGCTGGAAAGATTTCCTGGTTTGGTTAGAATAGTGTTTGAATTAGCTTTTGGTGATTAAATAATAGTTGTATAAAATTTTATAAGCTTCTCAAAAAGTCCAAGATCATAGAATTTAGATAAGTAGAACTTCAGTTATGATTTAAACTTGTAACTGCCATGTGTAGCTTAGAAATTGTCTTGTGATGAATATTGAAAATGATAGAGAAGAGATATGCACCTATTCAGTAACACAAGGAGTTAGCGTTGTTATCATTCTGTAACTTAACATCATTATCACAGCATGTACATTCCCCTATCACATCGTCCATGATCCTTCTTATGCATTCATGGAACTTACTTATGCATATGCATGCAATAGGTGCAACCGAGGAGATGACGTTGGTGGAACTCGACGCTGATCCATAAGAGGAGAGCCAAGAGGTGTAGCACCAGGAGATTCTCGGAGAAGGAGAGCCTGAAGCCGATCATCTTCCCGAATGCCCGGATCATCAACCTGCCACTTTCGTGAAAGGCAATCCCCGGAGCATTATACGTCTCCCTATTTTATTAATGTCATCTAAAGTTACTCGTATTGATGCATTACGTGGTAGGAGTTGTTTAGAAACACTTGATGCATATTACCTTTTCTTGTCCAGAAATATCTACCTTGAATCCTATTTAGGTCCAGGAACGCTCCTTATGCTTAGCTATGCTTAGACCGGTAGAAGTCGGGTGATTTTCTGTCACCTGCGAGCTATAGGCGATAACATGATCACGGTTGGCTATATTGTGCTATCGTGGAACATAACCTAGTGTGGTTGATTAATGGGAGACCGAACGGAGTCTTATGTTGTGGTAATTATAGTGATTTCGTCTGTGTCGTTTAAGGACCGATCGTTGGAGGTCATTTTGTCATGTTGAACGCATGCCTCTCACATAGTTGGCTGGATAAATCATTCCAACCGCGAAGCCGAGTAGCTCAACTCAGGCCGGGGTCATGATCAATTAAAGTGCGCACCCTAGAGGCAGTAAGGATATGCGGAGAGCCAATGGCGTAAGCCCAAGGGCGGGTTAGAGTCCTGAGCCTCCTGGTAGATTGGTTGTATCTTTGAGGGTGCGGCGCTGGTCTTACCCGCGATTGAACTTGAGTTGTATCAAAGGTGACCTAATGCGACCCCAACGGGGAGAGTATGGGTGTGTGTTAGGAATAATTCCCCAGCTAGGTAGGAATCGATTCGAATATCCATCTCTCCCTGATAGTAAGAACTTGACAGGAGTACGCTTCCTCGTAGTAATTGATGGAAGAGTTGGTTATGAGATTATGAAAGAACTCAACTTGATATGGTTATTATTGTGTTGACTTAATGGTACCAACATGTTTGGCATAGGATAGTTGCTAATCTAGTATGAGATAGGATTAATAACTGGTGATTCACAAATTAAGAGATATTGGACAACTAATGTTTTTATGCAAATAATGTCTACTAGCTCTACTTATAAAGCCTTGCATACTCCTTGGTGTCTTAGTAATTTAGTTGATGATGGGTAAGTCTAGCTGAGTACCTTCTCATACTCAGGGTTTTATTCCCATTGTTGCAGATAATGTTATGTACCACGGCTACTGTAAGAACTGTTTTGCTCCTGCAGTGGATGAGGAATAGGACCATGGGCATGGTCATTCTGTATATCATCTCACCCTTGTGCTTTTGGTTGGAGATGACTATGAAACTGGCTATGTATTAAACTACGTGTGATGTTGATGTTAAACTACTTTGCTTCCGCTATTTAAACTTGGTTTGTAATAACTATGTGGAATCCGATGTATGAGAAATATTTGTGAACTGTGATGTAACATGTGACTGGTTATATTGAATTATATACGATCTTGGCTTGTATGTTGGTTGAATCGAGATCCTTCGTGATACTCGACGGACTATTGGATTTATATGGGATCAAGTGTGATGGTTCGATTGCCTTGGTGGTTGCTATTGTACTTGTGCTCTTATAAATTGGACGGTTCTATGACACCTCCGTCCCTACTCGCTGGCCGCCAGTGACGAGCCTCCGCCTCGGCTCGCCTTCATCCCTACTCGCCTCCGCCTTGGCGCCCTGCGACATGGATCCGTGAGTTAATCCCTTCCTCTTCTTCTCCATCTACTTGTTGCTTGATTTCTTTGCTCCCCACGCCGCATCCCCACTTTGTCTTCCCTAGTTCCCCTTCCTCCCGAGCCTCCGCCTCCACTCGCCGACCGCCAGCGACGAGCCTCAGCCTCGTCTCGCCTCCGTCCCTACTCGCCTCCGCCCTGGCGCCCTACAACGTGGATCCGTGAGTTAATCCCCTTCCCTCTTCTTCTCCATCTACTTGTTGCTTGATTTCTTTGCTCCCCACGCCGCATCACCACTTTGTCTTCCCTAGTTCCCCTTCCTCCCTTCGTCTTCTATTTCTGCAGTGCATTTAGTCTGTTAGCGAGTTCTTGTTGCTTTGCTTGTATGCAGTAGATAGCATCTCCAAATATGAGTAGTGCTAGTGCGAGTGCTAGTGTAGGATGTGCATCCACAAACACAACAGACATCAAGGCTCCACATTGGGATCATGTAACCATTCTAGAGAAGCCTAAAACTAGTGGAGGAAATGCTATGTGACGCTGCAAGTACTGTCCAATGCAAAAACTGAGTAGTTACACTAGAGTTGAAGCTCATTTGCTGCAGAAGGGAGGAAGGGGAATAGGTAAATGTCCTAATGTTACATATGAAATGCTTAGTGAAATGAGGAAGGAAATTAAAAGGTGTAAGAATCTGGTGGAAAGATCCAAGTCAAGAACTATTTCTTTGCCTATTGCTCCTTCCTCAAGCAATACTGTTGACAGCAACAAGAGAAACAAGAGGGGGCATGTTTCTGCATTGGAAAAAGCTTGGGCATTGGAAGACCGTAAGCACTTGGATGCTTTAATTAGTAGAGCAATTTATTCTGGAGGGGTATCTTTCAATTTTCTGAGAAATCCATATCTTCGAGAAGCCTTTACCTTTGCTTGCAGCTGCAACATGCAAGGTTATGTGTTTCCTAGTTACAACAGAGTTAGGGAGGGACTTCTGAAGCAAGAAAGGAGGCACAGAGAGACTTTGTTGGGGAGCACAAAGAGCACATGGGCAAAGAAGGGAGTCATAATCTGCTCTGATGGTTGGTCATATCCTCAGAGGCGACCAATCATCAATTTTGTTGTTGTTTCTGACAAGGCACCTATGTTCTTGAGGGCTAATAATTGTGAAGGTCAGTACAAATCAAAAGAATACATTGCTGAGAAGTTGAGGGGTATAATTGAAGAAGTAGGTCGACATAATGTAGTACAAATCATTACAGACAATGCTACAAATTGCAAAGGTGTTGGTCTCATAATAGAATCTGAGTATGATAACATATTTTGGACACCATATGTTGTGCATACCCTCAATCTTGCTATGAAAAGTATATGTGAACCTAAAATAGGAAACAACCCTTCTGATGAAGAAATATTTGCTTGGGGGAAACTTGAATTTATACATGATGTTAAAACTGAGGCCGCTATGATAAAGAATTTCATAATGAATCATGGCATGCGGCTTTCAATGTTCAATGAGTTCAGCCGTTTGAAGTTACTTTCTATTGCTGAAACTAGATTTGCCTCTGTTGTATGTATGTTGAAGCGGTTTGTTGAGGTAAAAACAGCCCTCCAACAAATGTGATTAGTGACAAATAAAGTGTGTACAGAGAAGTCAGAGATGATTCTCCAACTCCAACAGCCCAAATTGTCAAGGACTTGATACTTAGTGATGTATGGTGGGACAAAGTGGACTACATTCTTAGGATTACTACTCCTATATATGAAATGATTCGTATGACAGACACTGACACACCATGTCTTCACTTAGTTTATGAGATGTGGGATTCAATGATAGAGAAAGTGAAGAAAGTCATATATCGATATTAGGGCAAGCAAGAAGATGAGGAGTCAAGTCTGTACTCCGTTATTTATGACATATTGATTGCTAGGTGGATAAAAGGAAATAATCCACTTCATTGTTTAGCTCATTCACTTAATCCAAGGTACAAAACTACAAACTGCCATTCAGATTTTTTCCATTCACTTGTGTCATTCATATTTTTTCATTCACTAAAATCATAATGCCAAATTACAGATATTATAGCAAAAAGTGGCTTGACGAAGGTGTTGGCCGTGAACCACCCCACAAGGATAAAGAGGTATTGAAAATGATAATGGTTTGCTTTAAGAAGTTCTTTCCCATGCCAGAAGAATTGGCTAAAGTAAAAGAAGAGTACTCAAGGTTCTCTAATTGTTTGGAAGAATTTATTGATCCTAACTCAATCCATGATAGATGGGTTGTTTCCCCTATGACTTGGTGGATAAATCATGGACAATATGCTCCCTTATTGATGAGTTTGGCCATGCAATTGCTTAGCCAACTAGCCTCATCTTCTTGCTGTGAAAGAAACTGGAGCACCTATAGCTTTATCCATAATGTCAAGAGAAATGCCTTAACTCCATAGCGTGCTGAAGATTTGGTCTTTATGCATACAAATCTAAGGCATCTGTCAAGAAGAACTAATGCATACAAGACAGGAGAAACAAGGATGTGGGATGTAGGAGGGGATTCTTTTGATTCACTTGGTGGTATTGGCATTCTTGAAGTGGCCGACCTGTCCCTTGATGAACCTGAATTAGAAGCTCTGACTTTTGGTTTGATTACTCTGCAGGTTGATGTTGCGGATGAGAATGAGACAATTGAGGAATAGGAATAGGAATAGGAACTTGCTGCTGCATGAATTGCAAGCCTAAATGCATTTTATTAATTTTCTAGATTTGAGACTACTATATTTTAGAGTTGAGGAGACTTCAGACCTACTGTTATGTAATAATAGTAGTTAAGTAGTTAATTGCGATGTTTTATTGTTATCAGCTTTAAATTCAGACCTACATTATTATTATTATTATTATTATTATTATTATTATTATTATTATTATTATTATTATTATTATTATTATTATTATTATTAAATAGTAAACGTATCCGCGTATCGGCTTTTTTGGAAAATTGCCGTATCCGCGTATCCATATCCTTCCGATACCAATACACGTATCGTTATCCGTGCAACTTAGCCAGCTAGACACGGAGCAGGCTTCCCCCTACCCCGAGTTGCTGAGCATGCTGGAGGACATAGCACCACCATCTGAATCATATCCTGACGCCGCCGGTGACCAAGCTGATGCTGAACCATAGATATGCAGCTTCCCTAGGTGGAGAGGCCACTTCTTCTTATTCGTCTCAATCAACATTTGGAGGGTTATTTGATATTTGTGATGGTTATGTGTTTCAGACATGCGTCCATGTTAGGAACAAGCCTGCAGTGTGCTGTGCCCCTCCCGTGGGCCGTGGCTGTCTGAGAGAACATTTTGTGTTGTCGATACGATAGCTATAATGATTGAAATGGAATTCAGTTTTGGTTCTATCTGGATGCCGCTAATAGGACATCGAGTCCAGGAGCTGCTCCTGTCCTGCCCTCTTTTGCATGTTTTTCTGCTATACACACTCGCCATTCCCCATAAACTACAACTGCAAGTCCAATTTACCGGCTGCTTCCACTGTTACATATACCGGTTGCCATCATAGTTATAATACTCCGAGTTTGTAGTAACAGAACAGCAAAGAGGATCTGCACATAGGAAGCCAAGTGCTGCATTTTTTGCATTCCAAAAGCGATATACACCTAGTTTGCGGTAACAGAGCACCAAAGAGGATCTGCAGTGCACATAGGAAGCCAAGTGCTGCATTTTTGCATTCCAAAAGAGACCAAACAGTTAGTATCATCCATCCATGATCCATCGCACGCCATTTTCTAGAACAGGTTGATGACAGGGCACACAAGCAGGGGACATCGCTTACAAACAATGTACAGCACAAGCCACATACACAGTGGCATGAGCATGGCAAAGCACTTCTCGGCGCCAAGACTTAACAGTCATGACACAGCAACGCAACGCAACGCTCCACAAGACGGTCTTCTTCCTGAGCCCAAAGTCGTCACGTCACACACAGGACCATGGCCATCGTTGGTGATGAGGAATCACAGTCCAGATCGCTCTGCTGCTGCAGCAGCGGGGGAGGCCGACGAGGCAGAAGGGCGGTTGCCGGGCCGGCTGTGCAGCAAGGGGTTCAGGGCCTTGACGACGATGCTCATGTTGGGGCGGAACTCACCCTCGTACTGCACGCACAGGGCGGCCACAGCAGCCATCTGGTGTACATACAAAAACAAAACATGGGTAACATGGTAAGAATCATATCATCAAGATTTGTGTTTATCTTTTGTCCATCCAAACCACATACTGTAACCACTTTTGAAACAAAGTTTTTCAATGACAGTACTCTCTTGCAGTGCTTTCGGAGCAGGATTAAGTGTTACGTTGTGAAATTCCACTTTCAGGTTTACATGGAAATAAGATTAATAATATTTACCTTGGCTACAGCCTTTGGAGGGTATTCATCTCCGAGCCTTGGATCCACGCATTGCCTCACCTTATCTTCACTAAGCCTCGGTGTAGCCTTCATATATAACCAAGAATTTAGTTGCTTTGTTAGCTTCATGCCTTTCATCCTCGTCAAAAACATAGAAAAAATTCCCAGGTAAATGGAAAGGCCCATACCCATGTCACAAGGCTCTGCTGGCCACGGGGCAGTGTGTGGTCAACTGGCTTGCGACCGGTTAAAAGCTCCAGCAGCACAACTCCAAAGCTGTAAACATCACTCTTCGTGCTAAGCTGTCCAGTCATGGCATATCTGAAAACCCCCCAAGAGAAAAAGGTAAAAGAGTGTTCCCAAATCCTAACTGAAGATGAAAGAACATTTGGGATGCATACTCTGGTGCATGGTAGCCAAAGGTGCCAAGAACACGAGTAGAGTGGAGGCGCGCAGCCATGTCAGGGGCCTGGTTTGAGATGTCAAAGTCTCCGATCTTTGCAACGTCATGGTCAAAGAGCAATATGTTGCTGGACTTGATGTCGCGGTGGACCACTCGAGGGTCCGCCTTCTCGTGGAGGAACTCGAGCCCACGAGCCGCACTTACGGCAATCTTTGCTCGCTGCATCCATGACAGGACTGGCCCTGGCTGAGCTCCCTTGACACCCTTTTTACCTGTGGACATGGATCAGTCACACATCAGCCCAAACTCAGCAGGCTTGATTGGATTAGGCATCAGCGACAGGTTCATAGTAGTTAGCATGGGAGCAACTGCAAATGGTACCTTATGGAACTAGATAAATGTTTTCACACGCAATGAAAATGATAAAAACACTGAGCTTATGGAAGGAGATGGAAGACTTGCTCCCTACCATGGAGGATATCATGCAATGATCCCCTTGTTGCATACTCATAAGCAAGAACGCGGGTGCTCCCTTCGGCACAGTATCCGACGAGTTGGACAACATTCTCATGCTTCAATCTTGAGACAGCTGAAACCTGCAAAGGAAATGGGAGTGAGAACTGGAGCATCTGGACGAGGAAACATTATATGAGAGAAGTAAAGGTGGCACAACCTGCACAAGGAATTCTTGATCAGGCTGTTTGCTGGAGTCAAGCTTCTTCAATGCAGATTTCGTCCCATCTTTCAGTACACCAAAATAGACTCTGGCATATGAGCCCTCGCCAATGAGTGCATCACTGCTGAAGTTCTTTGTAATTTCCTTCAACTCTTCCAGGTGAATGGCCGGTACTGCAATTGGCTGAGCTCTGCCTGTGGGGACGACAGGGGTTGGGGCTGGGGGCCGGCTAGGTCCAAAGTTATCAACTGCATACGGGAAAAAAGAAATGAAAATCACGATATGTGCTCAGGAAACCCCATTTGTGGTACTAGTAAGCATGATAAATGTTTGTTTAACTTCACTCATATATCTTTATGTTTCCACAGAACCAAACCTGGAAAATAACTAAAACAGTATCTTGTATGTTCAGGGGAACAGGATTTTTGTACCACAGGGTACACAACAAAACCCTTAGTACCACCACAGTCAAAATAGTTGGCAATCACATTGCAGAGTTCAGTACAACATTCAGCAATCAATTCACCCGGCTCTTTTGGATCCACTATTTGACACACCAGGACAGGTTTTCAGTGAAGTAAATCATATTTAGTCGTGTCAAAAACTATATCGAATAAGGATACAGAAATTCACTCAAAGAGGTAATAAGGATTCAGGAAAGACGAAACAGAGATCATACATAAAAACTCATGTTCACGAAGAATTGTTAGCATGCTGGTTCTATAGAATAGCTTTTCTTAGCAAAATAATGCAATGTACTGAAGACGACGACTGTAACTATGGAAAGAAAATAGTTCTTCGAATAATGCAATGATAAACATGTTTATGTCAATGTAGTAACAAATTTAGGTGGACGACCGAGTACAGTTGAGTGGCATGTTTATTATGTCCCCCCTTTCTTTAAGAAAGGCAGAAAGCTGGGTAAGCTAATGTCAGACAGGTAGTTGCATTTCTTATGCCAAAGAATTTTCTGTGAACATAATAAATTGTTGGAAGACAGACAGAACACCATCCCCTTTGCATTGTTCGATCAGGTAGTGCCATCCACGTTTTGTGAAAATCAGTGCCTTGATTGTATCACACAATTAACTTTTTTTTTACTGAAATTCACAAATTAATCGTTGTTACCATGACAAGAAGTGATGAAAAGAAGAGAGAGAGAGAGAAGTGGCAACCTTGAGCAGGGATAGGAACATAGGCGTCGTCATGCTTCTTCCTCCTGCCAATGTCGTCGTCATCGGCCACGCAGCAGCATGAAAAGCATCCCATGGCCGGCTCCCTAACCTTGCATAACACATAGACATTTACATGACTCCTGTATCGAACCAAGAACGCGCCAAACATTTGCATTTCACACATTTATTGAAACTGAAAACTGTCTGCATGTCCACGCACTAAAAAAATATCGATATATTTCAGAATGTCTCGCAGTAATATTTGTAAGATACGGCATTTGCGTACGGGCGCTGAAGAAAACGAGAAGATAGAGATGGACTGACGGAATTTGCCATGCGAATATGTGATGAATTTAATCGGAGTTTTTCTTTAGCACCAATCAGTAGGAAAACGTACGTTGAGACGAAAGGCAAGGAAATAAAGAGGAAAACGTACGTTGAGACCGAATATGCTCTATCACCGCTTCAAGAACCTGACTGAACGGTTACCGTCTACTTATCCGGCGAGATCGAGGATCTAGAGACCAAGCCGGCGGCGACCAATTTCTTAACAAGCACGAACAAGGAGGGTATACAAGAACAACCCAAAAGTCTTGAGAGAAAAGGATAAAATCCGACGGAGTTCACCAGTTGGCATGTGCGATTTAAAAATTTTACATGCCAAGTCAATTAAGAAAAAAAAAGCAACAAGAGAGGCGGCGATAACTACCTTTCTTCCTTCTTCTCCGACCTTTGATCTTGGGGGAGCGAGAATCGTAGTACCGGATGGGATCAAGAACAATGCGAGGGGAGTGCTGTGCTGATGGCTGGGGTGCTGGTGAGAGGAGGGGATGAGGAGGAGGAGGAGGAAGAGGAAGGGACACGACGCGGAGGCCTTCCCTCGCCGCCCTTCCTTCCCCTTCTTCTCCTCTGCTGTGGAATGCCTGGCCTGGCTTACTTGTTGCCGTTTCCGTTCCGTTTTTATTATTCCCGTTCCCTTCCAGTCCGTCCGTCCGTCCCTTCCTCGCCTCGGCTCCCACCACCGCTCGCCAATTGGAAATTTGGAATGCACACAGCACACACCCCTCTTCGCTTTGCTATTCTTGTCACCTCACCTGCTATGGCCGTTGCCCGTACATACATGCAACGTTTACTACTGCTGATCTGGCACCTGGCTACCCGCTGTCGTGGATGTACCAACACAACTCCAGCCTTCTATCTATAGAAGTACGTAATAAAAACAAAAGCTAAACTTTGATAGAAAAATGGAAAGCATTTATCCCTCGTTTTTTCCTCATCCAGTTTGAAACTTTAAATTATTGTTTGTAGTATAGTAAGTTATCCACAATTTTACATGCCTTTTTACACCTTTGACCTTGTTGGGATGTTATCGGATTCACCTCAATCCACAACGGTACGGATATTTTCTAACCATATTCGAGACCGAATTCGTTTAGAGGGGTTCAAATCTGTCCGTATTCGAGTCCGGATATTCAACATCCGATACCGTATCCGTATCCAAATATTCAAATCGTATATTTATAATGTCGATATCCAATCATATCATATCCGACATGGCTAATATTATCCGTATTCGAATCCGAATCCGAACAAAAATACGAAAACAAATGTAATATAAGTGATATCCGTTCGTATCTGATCCATTTTCATCCCTAATTGGGGTGGACTAGGGTGTAATTTAGTTTAAGTTTCACTCCAATCCATCCCAACACATATAGATTGATGCGAATCCGACTATATCCAAATGAGGCCTTCATGTGCTCATTCTGGTAATTATTTGTTGTACCTATGTTTATTCTGTAAATCCAAGTTTTGTATATCCAAACCTCCCCATTCTTTTGGTTGGCAAATAATAGACCACATGGCAAGTCTATACTTTTTTTTTTATGTTGATCATATTGCCGTAGAAAGTTTGATCTAAAATACTCTATTTTCTTTAGAACGCCTCTTGGGATTTCAAAGAAAGAAAGAAAGCAAAAGCTTAGCTTAGATAAGACCGAATTAATCATGACTAATCTTCCACCCAACCATAATAGTTTTTCTTTCCGGCTACATAGTCTCTTCTCAATCATTTCTTCAATTATTTTCCAATCCTTGTTGTTGAGTTTCCTATAGTGCGTTGGTATTCTCAATTATTGGAAGGGATATGTACCTATTTTGCAACCAAATAATTGAGAATATCGCGTCTCACACAACTTGGCTTGCACAAAAACAGAAGATTTCACTTTTGTGAAAATTTATCTTTATACTTGATAATTGTTCAAGTATGCAGAGCAATAACTTTGTATTCATAACTTGTGCAATATCATGGTCTAGAAATAAAATAGTGTCATCTGCGTATTGCAAGATAGATAAACTATCCTCTATTAAGTGTGGTACAACCCCACAAATTTGACCATCTTCCTTGGCCCTAACAATGATGACAACCAACATATCAACCACTATATCAAATAAAATAGGTGATAGTGGGTCACCTTGCCTTAAACCTTTCTTAGTTTGGAAGTATGCGCTAACCTGATCATTAACCTTTATGCCTATAAAGCCTTCATGTATGAAGGTCTTAATCCAACTACACCAAGTATGAGAGAAACCTTTCGTTCTTAAAGGTTTATTGAAGTCCCATTTAACTTTTCCGTAAGCCTTCTCAAACTATATTTTAAAAATACTACCATTCAATGTCTTCCTATGAATTTCGTGCATAGTTTCATAAAGAACTACAGCTCCTTCCATGATATTTCTACCAAGGAGGAAAGCCATTTGCGAGGGTCGTATAACTTTCTGGGCTACCAGGGCAATTTGGTTAGTGACTACTTTGGTAAAAAAATTGAACCTCACATTAAGCAAATAAATTGGTCTGTATCGCTATATTTGTTTGGCCTCATTGCCTTTAGGTAACAAAATAATTGTACCAAAATTTAAATTATGAATAGGAAGCGAATCCCGATGGAACTCATGGAACAAAGCCATCAAATCTTCCTTGATCACATTCCCAAAGACCTGATAAAACTTTGCCAGAAAACCATCTGGGCCTGGTGCTGAGCTATGGTTCATTTGGAAGATGGCATCCTACACTTCCATCTCTGTGAAATCTTGAATAATGGTTTTATTTTCTTGTTCTGAAACTTAAGGGACGTCCTCTGTTTTGGACTCATCCATTGACACAAAAGACGTACCCTATGGTCCAAAAAAGGTTTTTATAACATTAAGTGATATATTTTTTGAGTTCATCATCGCCAGTTATAATACCCTCATCTAGTCGTCCTGTTCTAACATGAAGATCCTGGTCATCCTATGTTTTCCATTAGCCATTAAATGAAAGTTAGTGTTTGCATCACCTTCTAAAAGATTTTTAACTTTTGTCCTTTGATACCATTTGATTTCTTCCTCTCTCACAAGGTTGTCAAACTTTCATTTAAGTAGTGTTTTAAATTAAATTCTCAGAAGAAAGTAAGACTACTTCTGATTTTTTTCGAACTCGTCTAATTTATCTAACAAACTTTTCTTTTCCTTGTATACACCCACACACAATTTTGGCACATCCCCTTAAGTATTGTCTTAAGCATCTAATTTTTGCTTGCCACCGTTCTAAGGGGGTGTGTCCGTCCTGAACAATGTTCCCAAATTTGTTTGACCATCTCATAAAAACCCTCGTAATAGCCAATCCAACTCAAATTCGAACAAATATGGTTATTGAGAAAAAAGTTTTCTTGTATTTTTTATGTAAGGATGGATAAATTATTGTTCCTTTCACCTAAGTTGGCTCGATGCATGCATCTCCTGTCATTGTTGCAGCACAACCGGGACATGATTATTGCTAGACGAACCCTGTCTAAAAAGTCAGTGCACACTTCAAATCTAAGAAAAAGCATGTGATTCAACTCCCATGCAGTTTCTGCTGCAAGTGCTACGCACGTACGACATTTGACAAATCAACAAATTGAAGTCCTGTGACAGATGGACGCTTAGGTTTGGTGTTTAGTACTGCAATCCGTTAGGTTTATTTTGGTTGCTTCGCTTTGCAGGTGGCAGTAGTTGCAGACTTGCAGTACTGGATGGCAACGGAGGCCTTCCTTGCAAGTTAAAATTGCAAGAAGTTGAGTGTGAGACAGATGACGAGCATTATACTGCTAGCCAACCTCGTCTTCATAGTTACAGTACTAGTTAGTACACCTAGGATTGCTACTCTGCATGAACAGTGCGACCTACCAAAAGCAAAGTTCAAACTTCATAACTTTGCATAAGCAAACAGAGAGAAAACCCTAAACAGAGTTCAACCCAAGTGGTTCCCCATGGTTTTCATTAATTACTAACTACGTAGGTCTGCTCTTAACTACGTAGTGCATCTAATTAGGAGGATTAATAGGTGAGCTCATTTTTAGCCACGTCTTAAACTATTGTTAGCTAACTAGATAGGCAACCATAACTAAGTTATTAGGCTAATTTTTAGCCCAAACTAATAACTAGTCATGTGTATTTAAACAAACCCTAAGTCTCTACATAGAACAATAAAAAAATAATATTACCTTCTTTTATACATTCACAACTCTTGACCGTTCCTCCCCTAACTACTTGAAAAGGACACCTCATTTACCTAGGTCATGCTATGTCATATATACACTGTCGAAACACACTTAATCATCAGGTGCAAAGTCAATATCAACATTTAACTATTCTTGGATTATACACTCGGTTTCAAATTGTTGGTTGTTTAGTTTTATTCTAAATGAAAACTTCTATAATATTAACTATTTTTCAAAAGAACATAGCAATGTCTATAATATCAAATTAGTTTTATTAAACTTATTTATTATATTTTTATTAACTTAATTAATGTTAGGAAATATTAGTTAAGGATCAAACTAAAACAATTCTAATTTGAAACGGCAGAAGTATACCTTAGCTGTACTTATATGGGACTCAATGGATTTAAATTTTAGAACATATTTGGCAGAGCTCCCAGAGTAGCTTCGAGGCTGAATTTAGCAAGAGCTCTGCAAATATATTTTTTTTGCTAGGAAGTGATTCTACGAAGTGATTCTGCAATGAGCTATGAGGCTAAGAGTTGAAAAAAGTAGTTTTTCCGATTCACTCCCA